AAAAAAAAAAAAAAAAAAAAGAAGATCATGACAGAAAAAAATTAAAATAAATGAAAAGTGATAATAAGTTTATTTTTTCTTTCAAAAATTAGAAGATAAATATTAAGTTTAATTATTTTTTAAGTCTATGTACTGTAGTCTCATAAGTTTTATCTTTTAGTCACTATAGTTACAAATGTTTTCTTTTAGTCTATTTATATTATTTTTGTTTTTTTTAATCTGTATCATCTATTAGTATAGATACAAAAATATAAAATTTATAAAACTATATATCAAGATTAAAAAGAGATAAAATAGAATCAATAGATACATATGAACTAAAATGAAATATTTTAATTATAAAGGCTTAAAAAAACATTTTATTAAATATAAGAATAAAAAATAATTAAAGCTACATATTATTTGAAGGCATACACTACATGGAGACTAGCACAAGCATAATGCATAGCACTAACCATGACTCGAGCCATATCTCACTCACGAGCCACACACAGAGAACACAATGGATCAGGTAACGCACCATTTGAGTCACACCCTAAACCCAAACATATGTCTCAAATTGTACGTGAGAGAAAAGAAAACGAGCCATGCAAGAAGATAACGCAAATGAAGCTTCAATTATATGAACATGAAAAATTGATCGAGTTTTCAATATATATATATTTCAATAAATTTTTAAAAAAATGTTTGGTTTATTATTAAAAATAACATTAATTAAAAAACAAATTTTCAAATTATTTCATTTATATTTTCAATGAAATTATTTCCATCAAAATGTTAGAATCAATTTTTTTAATTAAAAGAAAAATTTCATTATGCTAAAAATATAATATTACTTCGATTACTTCATTTGATATGGTAAATAATTGTTTTTTTTTTGTAAAATTAAACATAAAAATAATTGATTTCTAAAAGACATATTATAGTCATTTATAAGAATGTGATTTTTGGGCATCAAAAGTTTTTTCCTTCCTAAGCGGTTTTTTTTTACCCATGTAATGTTGTTATGGTTGAATGTGACACAACTACTATCATCATCATTAAATTAACTATTGTTATTAAATCATCTCCCATATTAGTAGTGTCATCTGTGAAAAAAATTGAAATAAATAAATAAATTTAAAAACTATAGTAATTTTATAATTAAATTAAAAAATAAAATTAAACATTATTGTAAAAAATTTCATTTTGAAAATAACATAACATTAAATGTGGCGCAGTTATCAAATGAGGCAAAAGTCATGATTATATTTATACAAGCAAAGTTTCTCCCTCAACAACGACGAAGGTAAGAGAAAGAATATTGTTATTATCATTTTATGTTGTGATAATAGGTAATATGCTTCAATACTTATCATATAAAAGTGTCATCAATTTGTATAAACAATTTGCAATAATTAAAGGCGTCACAACATGACATAAACGTCCAAAAAAGGCATTAAAATTGACAAAAAAATGAGCATCACGCAATTACCAATAAAAAATTTATCGTAACACAAATTGTAATAAGATCCAAGACAATTTCATTCATGCATTTAAGTCATCTTGGTAGATAAGCGAATGAATCTTTCTAATTACCAAATATTTTAATTACTGTCTTTTGTTTTGTTATCCAAGCCTTTTTGTATGAAATTTTAAATCTAGTTTGTGATGTTATCATTTCTTATATAAGGTTGATCTTGATGGCTGGATATTGGTTTGCCATTCCTAATTACAATGTTTATTAATAATTATATTTCAATTCAATTTTCTATCTAGAAAAAACAAAATGAACATTACAAAAACTTACTTGTGATCTTATATAAGGACATGTTTAAAGAAGTATGAAGTCCACCTTATCGAGTCACTTTTCAACTATCCAATTTCTTTGATTCAATTGTCCTCGTGTACCATTTATAACCGTCAACTGCATTTGGATATCTTACACCCCCCCCTCTTTTTTTAAAGATTCAACAACGCAAAAACTTTAATACATTTTCATCATATTTTGCTTAATCGTAATTTTCACAATATCTTTATTATCAAACTCCAAACCAACATACAAATTATCACCAATTGACTAATTACTTGGGAGTTTGATCCCTAAAATTTCTTCCTGATATAGATGACTCTAATTAATGTTTGTATGATGAGGTAAATTATCCCAAAATGGACTTCCACTTGTTACAATTGATAATAATTAAAAAAATTAAATATAATAATAACAATAGCAACTTTTATTTGAAATATTACCTTCATCAAAATGATACACAAAAATAGATTTAATAACATCGTCATTAGATGATGGACAATCATCTATGCAATTTTCACTCGATTCGTCTCTACTTTGAAAAAACAACAACGTGATACTTTTCATTATCCTCATCTTCTTCTCTTGGCATAGTTAGCAAAAATTGAAATTGTTGTTAATTTACCTAGCAAAGTGCCAAAATTTATAATAGAATTGAAGATGTCCCTTCAACACTAGTTTCAACTATGATTCTATTATTGACATGATTGATTGACTTTTAAATGAGTATATTTATTTCCAACTAAAAAATGATATTATACAAATAATATGACTTGATAATCTCCAAGAGAAAGTTTGTTGTAAATCATTTTCTTCAAAATATTCAAAGTTATATCACTTTTAATATACATTACTTTCTTTCAACCATTAAATACAACACATTTAAAATTTTAAAAATTTTCAAAATAAATAAAAGTCACGATTTGATCCATAATATCCTAGTGAAGTATCTTAAAAAAGAATATCAATAAACAAATAAAAGCTAACAATATATATTTAAAAAATACACTCTTACCACTCAATTTACAAACAATCATGCATAAGATTATCACAGTGTTATGAAAGAGTGGTGGAATATTTATATAAAGAAGAAAAATCATGCAAAACTCACGAGCAACACACATAAAAAATATAGAAACATTTCTTGTAAAGAGCCCTTGTGGCACAAATGTAAAAAAAAATAAAATCAAATAGGCCCTTATAGGGTCCATAACGTCATATTTTTTTTTTCTATATATAAAAAAAATTAAGGATACCTCAAATGGTGTTACTACCCACAACAACACATTACAAAAAAAAAAAGGTTCTACTACACGATGTTGTAAAAGAATGGCAGAATACCTATATAAAGAAGAAAAATCATGCAATACCTACTAGTGACACGTGTAAAAACTATATAAACATTTATTGTAAGAGCCCCTTGTGGCACAAATGTAAAAAAAGTAAACAAGTCTTTCTACGATCCATATCGTCATAATTTTTTTTAAAAACAAGGATACCACAAATAGTATTACCGTCCACAATAACACATTTTTTTAAAAAGCTCTCCTATTGCCCACAACAACACCTTTGAAAAAAATGGTGCTACTATCCACAATGCTACATTTATATATAAAAAAAAGTATTTCTAGTGCCCACAATAATATTTTTGAAAAAAAAAAAATGCTACTACAACTTACAATGGTAAAAATAAATAAAAAGTGATGATAACGTGACACATCAACCCGCAAACACTCCAATGACACCTTCCTTGATGCCATATGTCCCACTTTTGAGCCATTTTAACAAAAATTAAAAAAAAAAAAGTTAATGTGGCACAAGTGTCACTTGGTTGACTAATGTACCCAAGATTAATTATCCCAAAGACTTAAAAATTATTTCAAAACAATTTCATGTGTAAAATGTTTCTATAACATCACTACATGGGTCAAAAAGCCTCCTAAACATGTTTGTTGACACATCTTTGCCAATGCTATGCGGCTACCAACATTGAAAAATTCTCACCATGTACATTTCCTTTAGTTTTCTATTTTTTTCAATTAATTTAATTTTTTATCCATTCAAATTACATCGATAATAACGTGATTTAAACTCTATAAACATATTACTCCAATCCAATCCCATACTAATGACTCAACCCCTAGTAGTTATTTTAATGAATTTGATTTATTAATACTATTGTGACTTAAAATAATTATCCTAATTATGATCACATTAAAATAATTATTCTAAATATAATCACATTATATTTATTTAATAATTATTTATTATAATAAAAATATTTTTAAAATTGAAGTCAAACAAAAAAACACAAATGACTATTTGTAAAATGCTATATAGTTTTTTTAATGAAAAATATATTATTTTTTTTTTGGTAAATACGAGAAAAAAGATATTGTAGATCTAACATTTAATACATTAATTAAATTATATAAATTTGGCATTTTGATCTTGTATTTAATTGTTCTCTTATTGGCATGAAAAAGGAAATAATTCACTTTAATTCTTTTACTGGCTAGTGTTCTAGTCTGTATCTCTAGTGATAACCATTTAGAATCCAAACTCAGACAAAACCTAAACAAAATAAAAAAGATTTATCTAAATCACAGAGCTTTCTAAACTCGAAATCAAAGGTACGAGTAAGAATTTTCCTAGCATTTCTTGGATCATCATATCCATATTGAAACCAAAACTTAACTACTATAGTATGTCTTTCACACAGCCACCTAACAGAGTAAGTCTTTCACAGTCACACGTAAATCAGCCAAGACTGTCCAATCCAATGCACTGTCCTTTTACAGAATATTCTTAATCAAATAAAACATCTTTTTTTTTTTTTATGAGCAACGAGAAGAAAAACATAACCGTTATGAGAGTGAGAGAGTACGCACACTCTCCTCTTTCCTTCTTCCGTTTCACACTTTCTCTTCTGCACAATCAATTAAACACAACATAACAAAACAATAAAGGCAAAAACAACCTTACCTTTAACCTTTGCAGCATTACTTTCACTGTTTCCTCGGCATCACCGAATCACTAACATTTCCCAATGTCGCCACTTCCAACTCCTTCCAACCTTTGCTTCTCATTCATCATACTGTTCTTCAACGTCTCTTTGATTTTCGCCACGCAATTTGACTTCGGAACTTTGACTATGAGCACGCTCAAGCTTCTCGGCGCCGCCCACCTCCACAACAACACCATCAGCCTCACCGGCGACCCCGCCGTCCCCAACTCCGTCGCCGGCAGAGCGCTTTACGCCACCCCCGTCAGATTCCGGCAACCGGGCACCCCTTCTCTGGCGAGCTTCTCCACCTTCTTCTCCTTCTCCGTCACCAACCTCAACCCCTCCTCCGTCGGCGGCGGCCTCGCCTTCGTCATCTCGCCGGATGCCTCCGCCGTCGGGGGGGCCGGAGGCTTCCTAGGCCTCGGTGGCAGCGGCGCCTGCGTCGCCGTGGAATTCGACACCCTCATGGACGTGGAATTCGTCGACATTAACGGAAACCACGTCGGATTGGACCTAAACAGCGTCGTTTCGACGCAAGTTAGCGACTTGGGAGAACTCGGGGTGGATCTCAAAAGCGGGGACACGGTGAACGCGTGGATCGATTACGACGGAAACACCAAAGTGTTGCGCGTGTGGGTGTCGTACTCGAATGTGAAGCCCGAAGTTCCGATTTTGAAGGCGGATCTCGATGTGGGTCTGTATTTTAAGGATTTCATGTATGTGGGGTTTTCTGGGTCTACACAAGGTAGCACCGAGGTGCACAGTGTCGAGTGGTGGAGTTTCAACTCCTCCTTTGATCCGGCGGCGGCGGCGGCTCCTGCCTCCACGTCAGCACCCTCCGCCACGTCAGCGCCAGAGGAGAAGGAGAGTAAGTCTTCTAACAAGGGTAATGTGGGGGCGGTTGCTGGGGTTGTCAGTGCTGGTGCCTTTGTTCTTGCTCTCTTTGCTGGTGCATTGATTTGGGTGTATTCTAAGAAGGTGAAGCCTGTGAAGAGGCTTGGTGGTTCTATTGAGTCCGAGATCATTAGAATGCCTAAGGAGTTTAGCTACAAGGAATTGAAGCTGGCCACTAGGGGGTTCAGTGCTAATAGGGCCATTGGCCATGGTGCTTTTGGGACTGTTTACAAGGGTGTGTTGCCTGAGAGTGGTGACATTGTTGCTGTGAAGAGGTGCAACCATAGTGGTCAGGGGAAGAGTGAGTTTCTGTCTGAGTTGTCTATAATTGGGAGTCTTCGGCATCGGAATTTGGTTCACCTTCAAGGTTGGTGCCATGAGAAAGGTGAGATTTTGTTGGTGTATGACTTGATGCCAAATGGGAGTTTAGACAAGGCTTTGTATGAGGCCAGGATGAGTTTGTCATGGCCTCACAGGCTCAAAATTTTGTTAGGTGTGTCGTCTGTTTTGGCCTACTTGCATCATGAGTGTGAAAACCAGGTAATTCATAGGGACATTAAGACTAGCAACATTATGTTGGATGAAGGGTTCAATGCCCGGTTAGGCGATTTTGGTTTGGCAAGACAAACGGAGCATGACAAGTCTCCTGATGCCACCGTGGCTGCCGGGACAATGGGGTACCTCGCCCCGGAGTATGTGCTTACTGGTAGGGCCACTGAGAAAACTGATGTGTTTAGTTATGGTGCTGTGGTTCTTGAGGTGGCCAGTGGGAGGAGGCCTATTGAGAAAGACTTTGTTGGGGCTGGTAAAGCTAAGAGGAGCAGCAATTTGGTGGAATGGGTTTGGAGTTTACATCAAGAAGGTAAGTTACTAATGGCGGCGGATCCAAAGCTTGAAGGCGAGTTTGAGGAAGGGGAGATGAGGAGAGTGCTCTTGGTTGGATTAGCTTGTTCACATCCTGATTCAGTGGCAAGGCCTACTATGAGGGGAGTGGTTCAGATGCTGTTGGGTGAGGCTGAAGTGCCTATCGTCCCTAGAGCCAAGCCATCTACTAGTTACAGTACTTCTCACCTCTTAATGAGCTTGCAAGATAGTGAATCAGACTGTAACATTGCTACGATCACCATCTCCACCTCTTCATCAGGGAACAGCTTCAATGACAGAGATATAGTCTGATGGAAGATCACAACTGGGATCTTGTCATTTTTTAATTATTTACTCAAAGTGTAGATAGAATGATATGTATTCTTTTGTTCATGTATGTAAACGCCAATAACATACAGTTGAAGAAGGCCTTGAGAAAGGTGAGAATTTTGGGGATTATGCAATTTTGCCTCCAGCGTTTAGTTTATGGTAGAGTGCTTCTGTTGTACATTTTTTATACAAATTTAGTGGATCTTGATGCTGAGAAATGCGAGATGCAGGTGCTGAGTTTGAGTCTTGCATGCAATCTAGGGAAGGTTAAAGGTCATGAATTTGCATAAATTGTTGTTCCACTTCTAATTCATGTCCATTGATTTAGAGCAAGTCGGAATTTTGACTAGCTGAGTAACTGGTGCTAAACATCATTTTCTTTGGACAATTAGATTTCGCATACCCTGGTATAATGAAAACAGCAATTTCGCAAAAGCCTTGTCCTTTTCTCTAGAAATCCAGGTTGTGATTCCACTCATAAGAAATGGCAATTTATTCCTTTTTCTGTTTTGGTGCAACATAATTTTTTAGTATAATGTTGCGGCGCCAAGTCTTTTTTGTATCATTTTGCTATTTGCTAAATGCATTTTTAGCATTTTGTGGAAGATTGGAAGGACAGATATCTGTCTATTAACATTTTTTCCCCTAGGTGTTTGACTGATAGCTTATGCATCTAGCTGATTATATATTATTACATCTGAACTCACGAGCCACGGACAACAATCTAGCTAAAATTAGGAAAGATCATCACTATTTGTTTTCAATTATGTAATTTATTTCTAATGTCTTCCATGTGATCATTTCTTGCACCAACTTTGTTTTTAGTCTCACAGTTGAAGGTGTTCTCCTTGTTTAGGCTTCTACTTGTGCTTCTCTTCATGATACAGTTACAACTCACCAGGGCTCCAAGTCTGTCGCATTGACCTTTCTTACAATTTTTTGATGGTGACATCGCAACTGTTTTGTTGATATTTGTACATGGACTGAGTGAATCATTTACTACTTCAGTCTTTTTCTAACTTTTATTTATTTATTTTCTATGATTGACAGCTGGACTTGAAAGTCTCAAGTTGGTTGATCATTGGAAAATAGCGAAAACCAATGAATGAGGCCTCTTTTCCAATACTTCAAGTGGAAGTTTAGTCTGGATTTTATTCAACCAAATACTTAAATCAGAGAAATGGCTTGACTCAATCAAAAGTACTTGTTGCCCATATTATACATAAAAAAACTACTAAGGCAGGCATAGGCACAACACACACTTGTTCCACTCCAAGCTAAGTCTAACACACACCATTCATCTTGTCATTCAGCTTCTTCCTCTCCGACACAAACTTCTTCCAAACTGTAGTGATTTCCCTCTGTGTCTCCAGAGCACTCTTCTTAGCAACCAGTACCTTGCCATCTTCTATTGCATTGACTGTGACAATGGTGTTGCTACTTATCACCCTTGCTGGAAGTGAGTCAAGCTCTTGCAGCACTTTCTCCACATCAGCCACAAGACGCTCTGCAAGGCTCCTTGAGAAGTCTTCCCTGATGACGACACGAATCACTGTGATGCGTTGAGCATCTTGGGGCATGGTGTATGCTGGCACTATCCACCCAGAGCGTCTCAGCAGTTCAGAGATTTGGAATTCGTCAAAGTGGGTGTTGTCTTTCAGTGAGAAAGCCACCAAAGGCACACCATTCTCTTTCGACACTATGTCAAACCGTCCTGTTTTCTCGAGTCCCGCTTTAAGCACTTGCATGTTGTCTCTACAATTTACCATCACGTTTCAGTATCCCTGCAATTCCATTTAATATGAAGAATCACACCATCAAGAAATTACAAGCGATGTGAATCTTTCACAAAATGATTAATATGTGAATGAGAAAGGCATCACACTCTCTAGTAACACTCTTT